TCTACTTCCAAATCAATAACTGTTCAACTATTAATATAAATGTCATTGGTCCTGACATTTTGTTTTCAATCACTTTCCAACTGTTGTAATGTAGCTCCCCTGTTCCTTTTCTATAACTATTTTCATGGTAATTGTTCTGATGAACTTGACTCTGGTACAAAGACTTTATGAATTTAAGCACTGTACTATTGGCAGCAAGGTCTCATTTTACAGTTAAAATAGTTAGATGTAACCTCAAGTTCTATGCTAACAGTTTCTTTTCTTGCACATGGAACTCTTCCAGCTTCTTGCTTTTCAGTAAAGTTAGATCTTGAAAAATTTAAATACAATGTCAACCATTATCTTCTGTCTTCTTGATTCCTATTCTTTTATTGCTCCTGCTTCTTAATGTTTTTTTTTTTCCTTTTCTTATATTCTTTCACCTTCAGTACCCACCACCACTTAGCACGTTTTATTGCTTTGCTTAGAGTGAAATGATATAATCTCTGCTAACAAAACCAATATTTTACACCTGACAATTGGAATGTCATAAGATATTGTAGTGAACGAGATAATCAAGTACCCCGGAAAAAAGTTCGTGTTTTGTGTGCGATCTGCCGGGGAGGGATTGCCAAAAAGTAGTCAGCAAAACTCTTATAGCGACTTACCTCGTCAACCCAAGCGAAAAAGAAACAAGTTCGTCGCAGGAGTCGCTATAACATCCTATCCCGGCTGTCGACGAATGGAAAAAATAGGTTCTGCCGATAAAAGCAGTTGGTGTTGTCGACTCGGGAGGAAAATTCGGGCAGTTTTGGCTACGGCGTTCATGAGTTATTTTTCTGACGTGTTACAAGTGATTTTCTTTCTTTGTGTTGTGAAAGCCACAAATTTGCTTTGAGAACGCTTACTCTTCAGATATAAAGTAGTTCATTCAAGAAACAAATGTTTTATTTCTTCTTACTTCCTAAACAAGCAAAGTTATGTACATCTCCATCCATGGAGAAATATAAATTTTGTTGTTCCAATTAAATATAACTTCCTTTCTCCTGATCTTGACCAAAGAGTACAACATTACTAGCATAGCAACTAAATTGGGATACCATTATAATTAGCAGTTGACTAGCTTCAAACAGAGCCCATTTTGTAAATTTATAATACTCTGTTAGTTTGACAGGAAACCAACAGATAAACAAAAAAGTGACAATGGCTTCTATATAATATAAAATTATAAAGAAAACAGTCTTTTTGTTGACATTCATGAAAACGTATTTAACAGCACACCACATCCTAACTTATAGATTTCACTGCTGCATCACTAAAAGACTTAAGGCAGAGGGTTACGAATGAAGTGGTAATGATGAATGAGGTGTGTGATATGAATGGAAGAGGAATGGGTAAAAAGTGAAGATTATGTGAATGAGGAGGAAAAATGACAAAATGACCTAGACTAAAAGAGGCCAAGATTGAAGTCTTCAGGGAAGCACCTGTGCAGGAATCTCTTCCACACAGTGACAGTTCTTTGAAAAAAAGCTGTCTGAATAGAACTTTCTTCCATTTGGAACATGAAGAAAATAAGTGTGATTCAACTTTTGTGAAAGTAGTATAGCGTGTCTTAGCAGTAATTGTCTAAATTGACAGAACTAAAGAAGGGAGTTCTTCTAAGCATTTGCCATGGAAATAGCAATAAAGTAGCAACATGATTGCAATATTGCATCTATAGGAAAGCGGTTATACAGTGAAAAAGATCATGTAAATAATTTTGAATGCTATCGATGTTGGAAAGTGAAAGTTGAGCAACTCCAGCCCAACTATAGCTGCAATACTCCATTTTTGGTTTAATCGGACACTTGCAAAGATACAACATGGCAGAAGGTGTCAGCTATTTCCTGGAGCCAACCCCCCCAAGTTTCCTGAACCTTTACCACACTAAATTCTTTCTAGAATTGTTCCACCTGCCACTTCACTTTTTGAAGGGTACAAAAACATGAACACCTACTGTTTTAAAATTGTAGTAACTTTCTTTGTATTGTGTGTATAGATTTCATTTTTTGTATACTAATAAAAGAATAATATTTTTTATGTAATACATTACATTTTGCATGCATGTTTTGACAGTGAAAACAAAATTGAAACACAGAATAAAAATAAATACATTAACAATTTAACATACTTTAACTTTTATTACTCCTTGTGGAGTTCTGGGGTGCAATAGGAAACAAAATGGCTAAGAAGGCTTTTATTTTGTCAAAAGTAATGTCCTTCCACATGTTTACATAAGAGTAGACAAGCATTTGTTTGCTTTCTTTCACCTAACTAGTATATTTATTTATCTCATTGAAAAATAAAGTTATTTTGTTGTTTATGAATAGACCAAATAATTCACCTTCAGAAAAGCTATCAGGTACATCCATGGGGCCAGTAGCTACCATAAAATTAGTCAACCATGGCTGATAGCAGCCGCTCGGCACCTAGTGGCCATCATCTCTGACCACTTCACTGTCAATATCCACTTGCGCAAAGCCTTCAAAATCATCATCAGAGTCCGAATCAAACAAACTCCTGAATAAAAGCTTCATTGGATGTTGATGCTACCATTTTTGTTTACAAAAAGAATCATGAAAAATTGACGTAAGTTTAATCAATGTTACACCCCACGTACAGTGTAGAAGAATTCAAAATAATGTCGGAAAACAGAAGTTTAGCCTCACTCCAAAGCAGTAGTAGGTGATTTTCAGCTTAAAATACCAGAAATAACAATTGACATATTTATTTATAGCAACTGTCTCAAGGTGACAGAATGTGCCTACAGTATGCAAAGGGAGAGAATTCTATGGCGACAATTTTCACCTCTAGTGTGGTAAAGGTTAACAATGGATTGTATTTGGACTAGTAATTGACCCAGCATTTAAACTGGTAGATTTAATGTTAGAAGGGGAGAAAATGGAGAGCCAGAAACCTTAATCAGTGATATTTATTAAACTTAGTGTGGTACAAGATCATGGGAAAAAGGCGATGGGAAGAGTCTATAGCGTTAATTATTCAGGTAGTGAAAGTCTGCCAGCTCACATTGAAAAAAATCAGCATATTACCAAACTAAAAATTTTTTTTGCAACACACTAACATGTATTGAAATCTTCCTCAGAGTATTTGGTATTGGTTGAAGTTATCACTAACATTTTTTGTTGAGATTTACAAACTAGGTTTCATTCAATTTTGCAAACAAATAGATATTTAAATAAACTGGTTTGGTTGGAAAAATACTTTGACAAAAACCCTAATTCATTGTTTAATAATTTCTTCAATTTAATTTTATAGAACTTCATGACAAACTATCTTTTTAAGAAAATTTCTTTTTCCTTTTTAACAGCAAAGAATAAATTGTTAGGATTTCTTACTCTTGAGCATACAGCTGGCCACACATATTTCTTTCTGAAGCCAAATTCCAATATTTTGAAGCATTTGGCCTTGTGATTTGTTTATAGTTCTTGCAAAGGCAGAGCGAACTGGAAACTGGATTCTTTTTTTACATATAGAACTTAAAGAAAATATATGCTAAAAACAATATTACATTTTTATTAAATAAGTATTTGTTATTTTAATCATTGTTTTTAAAATAGTGGGAGTAGTTTGTATGTTAAATAATAAAACTTAATTTTCCAAAAAAAGTGAATGAAAATTTATTGTACTAAGCTATGCACCTCAGTAAAACCAACTGTTCTTTATACCAACTTATCGGTTTGAACTTTTCCCACAATTTGGTTTTGATTGGTCAATGTATGGTTATTTTAGAGGGTGTGACAGATGGATGGACTAACGAAGTCACAGAATTTTATGCATCTAGATAGATTGAAAATTAACCTCTGGCCCTAGTGAAAAGTACCTAATTATCTCAGTCATAATAAATATTATTTTAAGCTTTTTGTTAAAAATTATTGTAAACAAGATTCTTAGCCTGAAAATTGTATATCTTGACACTTGCTATTTAAACTGAGTTTAGTATGGGACAAGTCCAAATAAAGGAGTAATGGAGGAAAGATTCTACTGCACCAATCTTTGAACTGAAGAGGGCCAGTTTGCATTCAAAAACTTAGGTTTCACTCCGTCTTGAACAATGACCTATGTAAGAAATATATAACTCTTGGTCACAAAGCAAACCCAAAATATTTTTAGTTTATGAGCTAAAATCCTTGAAAGTATCTAATTTGATGACACAGAAGACTTCTCTACCAAAATGGCTCAAAATAAATGAAAATAAAATATCTTCAAGTTCTTATATGCAAAGCAAAATTATCTGGAAGACCAAGGTTCACCCACACATGCTGGAAGACTAAAGGTCAAACTTCATAATATAGTTTTATCAAATATAAATGGGAAGCAGCTCTTATATACAATTTTTTTTTTTTTTTTTTACTTAGGGTAAATCTGTGCGCCTACTGCCTCAATGCATTTAAAGCCTCCACAGAATGTCTCCACTTGGTAGATGAATATATATTCTGTTTGAGATTTTTATAATTGAATTGTTCCAGAAGTTTGGGTGATTGGCCCTACACTAAACCCCTGTACCCTGAGGAAGGATTGGTTTTCAGCTAAACTTTTCTTGCACTTACAATTTTTATCTATCTGGGTTTGGAATCAGTTTTCCTTCTCCTGAGGTGGGGATGGGGTGGTATGATCAGCCCAGTTTATGGTCATTCTTGAAATATTTATGGTATTTTAACATTTTATATTTATCAAGCTTAGTTTAGGAGAGTTAAATAACAAATGGGAGAAGAAAGTAGGAAGATTGTATAGCACCAATCTCAAGAAGACCCGAGTTTCTGCTTCCAACATCAGTATCTTTTCCAACTTCAAACACCAACTTCAACACTTTATCAGCAGTCATTTATGAAAGACTATGTCTAATACACCAAGAGAAAATGGTAAATTAAGAAATTGGCACACAAGTATTTTGCCTGATATTTCAATGTACCATTCTTTATTGGACTTTTGTTTTTAAAGAAACTGTCAAGGTGTTGACTTACCTCCTTTAGGAAGGTGGCTTCGTCCAATCATACACCAATTGGTTCCACCAGAGAACAAGACTTCCCCATTTACAAGGGACCCTTCTAATGTCTGAAAAAGAAAAGTTTTACAGTCAGAAATAGAAATGGTTTGAACCCTTTTAATAATTATCCCAAGCATAAGCATTAATTTTTTTTTTCTTTTTAGAACTTTGTAAGTTGACTCTTTTATAAAGCCATTATTGGCATTGGACTGAAACAAAAAAATTTGGGGATCATGAAATATTTTAAAGCAAAATGAGTATCCTGAACTTATTACAGCTGGCAGTACCAATTTTGGAATATAATTTTTGAGCTAAATGTAGGGCTTCAATGTCTGTTATAAATATAAAATGTCTTCACTTGCTATATACAACGTATATTTTTTTTTTTTTTTTTTACAGGAGGGAGAAAAAAAAGTGAGAGAGATAGAGACAAAGAGATAGGTGGTAGAAAAGAGAAAAAGAAAGAACAAAAGTTTTCTACTTCAGTGATCAGAATTTCTATTAAAAAGGGGGGGTCTGAGAACTTTTGCACACAAATTTTTTTTTTTTTTTTATTGGACAGCTAGATACTAACCATGTGACGACACTTCTGGGGACTATTCTGATAATTTGATATTTAAATGGCATGGTTTTCAAGAATTAAGTCCTGAGAAAATGCCATTGTCTCAGTTTGCTGACATAAAAAAATATGAACTGAATAAAAATATCTTCCAGTCTAATTTAATAATTTTTACTTTAATTTTTACTTTTTTTTAGTCACAGTTTAAGTCAAAAATTAAGTCTGTTAAAATCTTTAGGATAATTGACAGGCATGAATTGCTTTAAGAAAAATCTAAGACATCATTATTAATGATAAACTTTGTGAATTCAAGAAAACAATATCAGATTGCCCTGGCTGAAATCAAAATTTGGTTATGAATGTTGGGTATTTTTGAGGTGGTTGGGATTACAATTTTACTGAAGTGTCCGATTTCATATTTCAACAATTAATAAAATTGAATTTGGGTTAATATTACAGTTACGAGTGTGTCACATCTGAACAAAATGATTTAGTAAATGTTAGAGAAAATCTAAAATTGCAAAACCGATATTAATTTCATTTGAACAAAATAGTTTAGTAAATTGTAAATAACAAATAAAAAGGGAGAAAAACTGCAATGTAAAAGATTGTATTCCAAATAACTGAGAACAGCCTATTTTGAAAATCAATATTCAAAATCTTTGGTTTTCCTTGATTTTGAACACTGACCATTTGAAGTATATATGACTATCAGACCCACAAAGACATTCTTATATCCTATATATTGAGAACTAAGAGGAGCAATTAATTTCAATAATAGTTAGGGTCAAGTTATCTTTTAAGCTAGTATTGGCTGCAGCCTATGGCTCCTTAAGCTTTTATAAAGCAATGATTTTAATTTTCTAGATTAAATAACTTCTAAATAGTTTCATAAACTGAAATCATAGAACAAACTTAATTATTTTGATTGTTCTATTGCTATAATTCTGGTTATAAATAATGTTTTACTACGGTTGTGTTGAAATATATGCTAATTTGGTTTGCAATAAATAAAATTGGTATTTCTTAATGAATATTTTCATTGGCAAACAAAAAGATAACTATTCTAGTTTATTTAAAGCTACTTCAAGCTATGTAAATGTTGATAAAATATATCATGAATAAAAATATTCAAGACATGTGCGGATGAGTGAGGTGGTTTCATCTGAGCAGACACCATAATTTTCTTATTCATGGGACCCCAAAAGGTCATAATTCTGCTGTGATAACAGTTGGTATTCTATATTTGGGAAAGAAAACATTGACATGTGGTTGCATTCGATGCAACAAGTTGAACAAAATGTTCTTTTCATTGACAAAAATTCTTACTATAATTTGATATTACTTCCTAGAACACAGATTCAATTTACTTCAAAATCAATATACATATTTTACCCAGAATTCAATTTGCTTAAAACTTGGTCAGAACAGTGCAACTTCAGTTATTAATAACAAAATTTCATGGTCCTTTATTACAATTTTCTCCTGAGCATAAATCTGAAGCTTATGGCACTTCCCATGAAAGCAATTTGCCAAGTTTGATAACACTTTACAAATTTAACCCTTTAGCATTTAATCCACCTCATAAATATCAGCTCTCAATATTCACTCCATGTATACTGCCATAATATATTACAATATTATTGCAAATAAAGCAGGAAGTAACACAGAAGATCCACAAAGGCTTTTGTTAAACAGCGAGACTTTGAGAGACGATATTTATGGGACAGGTTTGAGTATGCTAAAGAGATTAAATATGGAATTAATTTCAACAGATAAGGTGAGTTAGATACTGACATTTCCTGTAGTTCCCATAAAGAAGCTACCCATAGTTTATAACTTTTCATGAAATGGCATTAAACACAAGATGAAGTTGATGCATCTTTGTGAAATGTTATCCTTGGCAAAAAGACAAAAACACAAGAACCTCAAGTAATGCAAATGGATATTTTTCTTGCAAAGCAATGATTAAATACCACAATGAATTTTATTTACATAAATTTAATATCAAACCTATAGACATTCATAAATGAATGTTTTTTTTGTTTTTTTTAATAGTCACACTAAGATTCCTTGAAACTATATTCTCATTATTTAAACAAGTGACAGGATTTTATTTCTAAAATAAAAAGGTTTTCAACAATATCCTTTAGTTTTACTCATTTTATCAACTGAAGGAAGACCTGCTTTAAATGATATTTATCTGAACAGATATTTGACTAAGGTTCCATCATAAAGATCCACAAACACTTTTGTTAATATTTCAGTTACCAATTGCTTCTACCATAACAATTACCATCAAGTAATTTCTTTACCATCATATGAAGTTTCATAAAAACTAATTGTCCATCGAGAACATTTTTCATTCACCACCTTTGAGAATGACCAATACTGTCTCTTAAGTTAAATCACAGATATTTATTATTATAAATGGTAACTATCAATTTCAAATTTTTTCCTTGTTAAAATTTTAAAACTTAATATTGAATGTGAAATGGAACACAAGTATCAAAATATCAGATATGATTCTTTGCTGCCTTTTCCTGGCTTGGGATCAAAGTGTAGAATCTGCCTTCAGGTAGACAAACTATATTTTGTCTCAATTCCAACAGAGTACAATAAAAATGAGGGATGCCTGGTCCCAGGAGATTCCAACCCTGTGGCAGCACCACCCTCATCGCACCAAAAAGGGAGAGTCAGTGGAATATCAACACCTGCACAATGTTAGTTGTAGGGACTGGGCAATTTTTGGCCTTAGCCCAGGTTGCACCTGGGCTCCCAATTTTACCCAGTCACTATAGGGAGACAAGTAAATAAGTGTAGCATCTGTCCTCTTCTCTGCTAAGTTTCTGACTTTGGGCAGCTCACAGAAGTGAGAGGATTGGTGGATACCAATGCCAGCATAACAATTGTCATGGGGATTGGGTAATTTTGTCTTTTGCCTATATGTATATATAGGGGGTACCTCATGCTAAACCAAGTGTCGCTGCTGACACTGTAGTTTGAACATAGATCACCAGTGAGCAAACATGTAAGATCCCGTTTTGAATAAGTAAATCACGTGATGATCAAGAAAATGTATATATGGGAATTAGCGTGGCGTCTAATTGATCACCATTTCTATTCTATCTTCTATTACTATTTGGATGACTATTCTCTATACTGATATGGATTACCATTCAATGGTTACTTTTCGAGCAAGTATTATTGATCAAGTGCGAGTGTTATTCGAAGGTGTCTGACACCAGTATTGTTCAACAGCATTGCTATAGTATCTGTGATTACAAAGTCTCTACTACAACGAGCATTACAAAAGTGACAAGTATTCGTTGAAATTATAAAAGTGGCAACGAGTGTTCATTGACATCACAAAACTTTTCATGGACACTGTCTTAATTACTTTAGTCATAGAAGTTTCAATGATTTAGGGGATGATAGAATAAATTATGCTCATCTTAAATATCAGGGATTCCGTGGCCAAAGTGATTAAAACAATGTCCATGAAAGATGAGAGTCAAAAGTCTTGCTGAAATTTATTTGATAAAAAACAACAACTGTAATATAGAATAAAACTCATTTCTGTTTGAATTTTTTGTATGACGTGTTATCATTATTTACATTTAAACTAACCTCTTTGTTATTAGGTTTCAGCTATTGGGCTCTCCATCCTTCAAATATCTGTCGATGCAGGTATTTAGGGAATTTTTAGCTAAACACTTTATTTAATCTACAGAGATACATTGTTCCCATTCAACTGTCCATGTCTAGGGATAGCTCATCTTGTTCATATTTAGTACTGATCAGTTATTGTTCACCCTGTTTCCACCAAGTCTGTATGACCCAGTCCATGGATTGAACTTACAATTACAAGGTCACCAAAATCACACACCAACAATTTAATCCACTAGGCTGTAGTCCTATGTGTTACTGTGCCTTCTGGCGTTTTTCAGGTGCTTGTCAATCTAAAGCCTTTAGGGACTTTCAAACTGAATCAATTATTTAATTTATGGAAGTAGATTGTTTTTGTTCCTCTCTCTGTGTCTAGGGATATCTTGTTCATAGTTAGTACAGTTCAGTTATTGCTCACCCTGTTTCCACCGAGTCTAAGTTTGTACTACCCAGCCCATGGATTAAACTCACAATTATCATACTACCAAATTCACAAATCAACTCTTTAAACTCTACTCAGCTATTGTTCATGAAGAAGGCCAGAGAGCACAACAGCTGTGATAACAACAAAGAGGAGGATATTAGTTCAAATATAGATAAAACATATTCTAGCCTTAAGATATAGCAATCTATTTAAACATCATTTGAAGTACAAGAAATAAAGGAATGGAAGGAAACTTTGCAATTGTATGAGAACCAATTTTTCAATGTGATATAGCAGTAAGCCTTCAACAGGGAGAGGTTTTTCTTGTGCCATTGTCCATGTCTCAGGATCTCTCTTGTTCTTTTTAGTACTGCTCAGCGCGTTTCCAATGAGTCTGAATCTGCCCTACCCATCTT